AGTTGACTTCAAACACGATGGTGTTTTTAACAGGGCCATTTATAGCAGTAGCATCTGCATACACGATAAAATATGATGTGTCGCACTTCGATGTATCGAACTTACGATTGTCTCGAAGTAAAAATTCTTTCCTGCGTATTCCTAATTTCGTCGCATTTGTCTCGAAGTAAAATATTCTTTCCTGCGTATTCCTAATTTCGTCACATTTGTCTCGAAGTAAAATATTCTTTCCTGCGTATTCCTAATTTTGTCACAGTTGTCTCGAACTTTAGATAACTATTTTCGAAAATCCCGTTCAGTTCGACACAAGGGCGTCAGACTGTACAGAGATTCAAGAGTAGTGTTCACAGTGAGCCTCTGAACACATCTAGGAAAAGACCAAAATCTCCATCAAACAATGACGATTTATCATATTACCACGACATAGTTTATTCACACCCTAAATAATTATATATCATTATTAAACAATTATGCTCACATCGACATCTCACTAACAACATCAAAGAACATTCACTCACACCCTCATTGACTACATTAAACAACTTGCACTCACATCCTCACTAACAACATCAAGGAACATTCACTCACACCCTCACTGACGACATCAAACGACATTCACTCAAACCTTCACTAACGACATCAAACAACATTCACTCGACATCACATCCTCACTAACGACATCAAACAACATTCACTCACCATTCTCACTAACGACATCAAACAACATTCACTCCTCACACCATCAAACAACATCACTGACTACATCAAACAACATTCACTCAGACCCTCACTAACGACAGCAAGCAACATTAACTCACACCCTCACTAACGACATTCATTTACACCCTAACTGACGACATCAAGGAACATTCACTCACACCCTCACTGACTACATCAAACAACATTCACTCACACCCTCACTAACGACATCAAACAACATTCACTCACACCCTCACTAACGACATTCACTTACACCCTCACTGACGACATCAAACAACATTCACTCAGACGCTCACTGACGACATCAAACAGCATTCACTCACACCCTCACTAACAACATCTGAATGTATGCCGCAGCAGTTTGAAATTTTCGTGATGATAAAAGTGGCGAAACCCTTACCATATTCATAAGAAATATCTGCTGGAATACATCACTACCGTGAAGACCCGGAGTAGAACTGGTTCTTCAGCAACCCATGCTTGTTGTCAGAGGCGACTAACGGAACTGGGTGGTCAGGATCGCTGACTTGGTTGACACATGTCACATCTCAGTTGCGTAGACCGATGCTCATGATGTTGATCACTTGATTGTCTGGTCCAGACTCGATTATTGACAGACCGCCGTCTGAAACACATCCTGCTTCGTTTTTCGCTGACATACGCAGGTCATGCATTATAATAGTTTGTATTTTTAAGGGTTCTTTAATACTGTATTTTGTAATGCGACATTTGCATGACAACTTGCATAAAGCGAGTATACGAACTGATCATTAGCTTAACTGGTGCACTTGTGGTACATGTAATTTGATTTTCTATTTGAAATTTCTTCATGCGTTTTCATGGAAACAATTTAGGAGTTTTGTCTCCAACAAGTCTTCGATTTCGAACCATAACTCTTAACTTTCTAAAAACAACAACATTTAATGTCAAGTTTTTTTCCATGGGAACAGCTTTGAAATTTTTTAAGAGTCTTTCTTCTAAACAAAAGCTGATTGTTTATTGTACGAATATCTACTGGCAGAATATGGACGAACGCCCAATCACTTTTCTGCCATTAACAGACAAAGTAGCATCACCTCTAACGCTGTGTATGGAAAGTCTGTCCGACGTTTAGCAAAACATGTTCACAATGTAAACATATGCATAATCCTTCTTTATTAAAAACGCTCAAATCTCTTACAAATGACAACGAATATCCGTTTTTCTAGTTTTACTCTTAAGCTACAACCGCACCTTCCAGGAACAGGGGTTGGAACGTGACAACCCAACTATCGTGTAGTAAGCAAAACGACAATCAATCCCTCTTTCAAGACACAAGGTCATAGACCAACAAAACACATGTCACATTATCAACCAAACCAAGTGACAGAAATGTAGCTTTTGCCTTTTCGATTATTGTCTGTTTTGAAAGTTTAGGTAACCAAATGATATGTCCTTGTGCTTCGTTGGATGTTAGTGCCTTCACTACTTGTGTAAACTGAATTGCTGACTCAGCTTGCACACATGTACACGTTCTGTCAACACAATGTCCTGTAAATGCCACTCAGTGAACCGTGCCTCGTGTGTCTGTCCCATGAATTATCATTCCACACGTCCATCAAGAAAATGTGTAACATTATTAATTCAGATTTGAATCCTCTATACGGGTATATGTGTGTTCCTAAAATGATAATGGTGTTGGCGAGTCATCAGACAGGCTGCAATCGTGCTGGGTGTATTGTCCTGATTAGCCCGCCATCAGACCGTCCACTGTCCAACTCTGCAATTATTCTTGTTGAGAGACTCGCTGGACGTTCCATGGCCATGTCGTTTGTATGAAACACTGACGATCCAGCCACTAGACTGTCTACTGTCTAACTCTGCATTAATTCCTGGTTAGAGACTAACTGGTCGTTTCATGGACATATGGCTTGTAACAAACACTGACGAGCCAGCCACTAGACTGTCTACTGTCTTACTCTGCATTATTTCCTTGTTAGAGACTCACTGGACGGTACATGGTCATATGGCTTGTAACAAACACTAACGAGCCAGCCACTAGACTGTGTACTGTCTAACTCTGCATTAATTCTTGGTTAGAGACTCACTCGACGGTCCATGGTCATGTGGCTTGTAACAAACACTAACGAGCCAGCCACTAGACTGTCTACTGTCTTACTCTGCATTATTTCCTGGTTAGAGACTCACTCGACGGTCCATGGTCATATGGCTTGAAACAAACAGTGACGAGCTAGTCACTAGACTTTCTACTGTCTAACTCTGCATTAATTCCTGGTTAGAGACTCACTGGAGGTTCCATGGTCATGTGGCTTGTAACAAACACTGACGAGCCAGCCACTAGACTGTTTACTGTCTAACTCTGCATTAATTCCTGGTTAGAAACTCACTGGAGGTTCCATGGTCATATGGCTTGTATCAAACACTGACGAGCCAGCCACTAGACTGTGTACTGTCTAACTCTGCATTAATTCCTGGTTAGAGACTCACTGGAGGTTCCATGGTCATATGGCTTGTAACAAACACTGACGAGCCAGCCACTAGACTGTCTACTGTCTAACTCTGCATTAATTCCTGGTTAGAGACTCACTGGAGGTTCCATGGTCATATGGCTTGTAACAAACACTAACGAACCAGCCACTAGACTGTCTATTCTCTAACTCTGCATTAATTCCTGGTTAGAGACTCACTGGACGGTCCATGGTCATGTGGCTTGTAACAAACACTGACGAGCCAGCCACTAGACTGTCTACTGTCTAACTCTGCATTAATTCTTAGTTAGAGACTCACTTGAGGTTCCATGGTCACGTGGCTTGTAACAAACACTGACGAGCCAGCCACTAGACTGTCTACTCTCTAACTCTGCATTAATTCCTGGTTAGAGACTCACTGGAGGTTCCATGGTCACGTGGCTTGTAACAAACACTGACGAGCCAGCCACTAGACTGTCTACTCTCTAACTCTGCATTAATTCCTGGTTAGAGACTCACTGGACGTTCCATGGTCATATGGCTTGTAACAAACACTGACGAGCCAGCCACTAGACTGTATACTGTCTAACTCTGCATTAATTCCTGGTTAGAGATTCACTGGACGTTCCATGGTCATATGGCTTGTAACAAGCACTAACGAGCCAGCCACTAGACTGTCTACTGTCTAACTCTGCATTAATTCTTGGTTAGAGACTCACTCGACGGTCCATGGTCATATGGCTTGTAACTAACAGTGGCGAGCTAGTCACTAGACTGTCTACTGTTCAACTCTGCATTAATTCCTGGTTAGAGACTCACTGGACGTTCCATGGTCATGTGGCTTGTAACAAACACTGACGAGCCAGCCACTAGACTGTCTACTGTCTTACTCTGCATTAATTCCTGGGTAGAGACTCACTGGACGTTCCATGGTCATATGGCTTGTAACAAACACTAACGAGCCAGCCACTAGACTGTCTACTGTCTAACTCTGCATTAATTCCTGGTTAGAGATTCACTGGACGTTCCATGGTCATATGGCTTGTAACAAGCACTAACGAGCCAGCCACTAGACTGTCTACTGTCTAACTCTGCATTAATTCTTGGTTAGAGACTCACTGGAGGTTCCATGGTCATATGGCTTGTAACAAACAGTGACGAGCTAGTCACTAGACTTTCTACTGTCTAACTCTGCATTAATTCCTGGTTAGAGACTCACTGGACGTCCCATGGTCATGTGGCTTGTAACAAACACTGACGAGCCAGCCACTAGACTGTCTACTGTCTAACTCTGCATTAATTCCTGGTTAGAGACTCACTGGAGGTTCCATGGTCATATGGCTTGTAACAAACACTAACGAGCCAGCCACTAGACTGTGTACTGTCTAACTCTGCATTAATTCTTGGTTAGAGACTCACTCGACGGCCCATGGTCACGTGGCTTGTAACAAACACTGACGAGCCAGCCACTAGACTGTCTACTCTCTAACTCTGCATTAATTCCTGGTTAGAGATTCACTGGACGTTCCATGGTCATATGGCTTGTAACAAACACTGACGAGCCAGCCACTAGACTGTCTACTGTCTAACTCTGCATTAATTCCTAGCTAGAGATTCACTGGACGTTCAATGGTCATATGGCTTGTAACAAACACTGACGAGCGAGTCACTAGACTGTCTACTGTCTAACTCTGCATTAATTCCTGGTTAGAGACTAACTGGAGGTCCCGTGGTCATATGACTTGCAGCAAACACGGATGAGCAAGTCAATAGACCGTATCCAATGTTTTGTGTTGATCATATCCGGGTTCGCCAGCCACTAGTCTTCAGTATCATTGTCAACGGTTACTATTGTGTGTATTATTTATATCAGGGTTAACGAGGGATCAAACTGCTTACATTCGCTTTGTGTACTGCACGGTTAGCGAGCTTGTATTGTTCGTGCTGCGGAGTCACTAAACTGTCTACTGTCATGCTGTGTGTATAAGGTAAGAGGCATAATATTTTTTAGAAGAAATTATTTTACGATTAAGAATGTTTTTGACTGACGATTTTCAGTTGGATATGTGGTTATAGCTTGATGTATGTATCATGTTACTTCCTGATTGTTATGATATAGGTCACCCTGAACCCTCGTCATTTATATTACATTTTGTTAGAACTGTCTGAAACATAGGCAGGATGCAAACCGACTCTTTCTTTGTCTGGAGTTAAAACCAGGTCAAATAGCAGATGTTTAAGTGGTACTATAAGTGGTTCATGTAGGTATCGAGTGTCTTCCTGATTAACATCAAAATACGAAGCGTGTATGCCACCTTCGTATCCATCAATCATTTTTTTACACATAGAAAGTTCATTTTAGGTTACCTGTTGGATCCCAAGTTGAAACTAAAAGATATCCTGGAATCAAACCGTAAAAGAAATCAATAATTATATATATAATAAAGTAACTAAGTAACTAAATTAACTAATTTTTACCAAATTTTACCAAACAAGGACTGGTCGGTTGGGAGTCAGTATAATGTGTCTGAGTGGGGTATTCATGCTTCACTGAGGGCATGGTATCTCAGTGGGCTAGCACTATAAAACCAGCTTAAGTCTTGGCTAGTACAAGCAGCCGCACATACACACACATGCATGCACGTCGTCATATGAGCGAAATATTCTCAAGCACGACGTTAACCCCAATTTCACCTCACCTCACCAAATTGATACACAAACTACAAAGGGCGAAGACAATACAATACTGCAGTATCACTAGTTCAAGAGAAGTATAATAGATAAGCAGTGGTTATAGTAATAAAGACAATGGTGGTATATTCGTGATGTATTTTACAGGAAATTAATACAATAACTAATACAAGTTCAAGAGAAGTATAATACAAAAGCAGTGGTTATAGCAATAAAGACAATGGTGGTATATTCGTGAAGTATTTTACAGGAAATTAATACAATAACTAATACAAGTTCAAAGGCAGTATATTTCAAAAGCAGTGATTATAGCAATACAGACAATGGTGGTATATTCGTGATGTATTTTACAGGAAATTAATACAATAACTAAGACAAGTTCAAGAGAAGCATAATACAAAAGCAGTGATTATAGCAATACAGACAATGGTGGTATATTCGTGATGTATTTTACAGGAAATTAATACAATGACTAATACAAGTTCAAGGAAATATAATACAAAAGCAGTGATTATAGCAATTACGACAATGGTGGTATATTCGTGATGTATTTTACAGGAAATTAATACAATAACTAATACAAGTTCAAGGGAAGTATAATACAAAAGCAGTGGTTATAGCAATTACGACAATGGTGGTATATTCGTGATGTATTTTACAGGAAATTAATACAATAACTAATACAAGTTCAAGGAAAGAATATTTCAAAAGCAGTGATTATAGCAATACAGACAATGGTGGTATATTCGTGATGTATTTTACAGGAAATTAATACAATAACTAATACAAGTTCAAGGGAAGTATAATACAAAAGCAGTGGTTATAGCAATACAGACAATGGTGGTATATTCGTGACGTATTCTACAGGGAATTAATACAATAACTAATACAAGTTCAAAGGCAGTATAATATAAAAACAGTGATTATAGTAATAAAGACAATGGTGGTATATGTGTGATGTATTTTACAGGAAATTAATACAATAACTAATACAAGTCCAAGGGAAGTATAATACAAAAGCAGTGATTATAGCAATACAGACAATGGTGGTATATTCGTGATGTATTTTACAGGAAATTAATACAATAACTAATACAAGTTCAAGGGAAGTATAATACAAAAGCAGTGATTATAGCAATAAAGGCAATGGTGGTATATTCGTGATGTGTTTTACAGGAAATTAATACAATAACTAATACAAGTTCAAAGGCAGTATAATACAAAAACAGTGGTTATAGCAATTACGACAATGGTGGCATATGTGTGATATATACTAAGCAGCAAAAGAAACGTCTGTTTGGAATATTCCTTCGCAGAACTCATACCTATGTATAAATTATACTGTATATGAAGAACATAATATATGCATTTATGGCCTATATTTTAAACAAATTGGGGCATTTTGACTACTCCACTGGGGCAATTTGACCATATTTGCTGGGGCATTTTGTAGCTGGGGCAATTCAACTGGCAACAGGACTTGATATAATTTATGTTAAAAATACCACTGACAGTAAGTTGTAACAGGGAGTGATAGAGTATAGATGAATCTCGTGGGTACTTCTTCCTTCTTTAACCTAGCTTTGGGATTTTCATATCCCATGTGTGCATGTCCCTTTCATATGCGACCGACTCGGAATGATCGGATCATTTCTCCTGCCTAAATCTGTCTCTTTACTTGGAAAACGGTAGAAATTGTGGCTCTTTGCATTGTTCGATGATACCGTCATCCCCAGGCAACGGAATACACCATCGTACCATTTACGAAAACGACGGAAGCGATTTGTGTTACTGTAGCGCTTGTTCTTTGGCAATATGGCGGACTCTGGTCACATTTGACGTCACGAGCGAAAAAGTCAAGTGAGTTCCAGCAGAATATGCATAATGGCCGAAGCTCAGATAACAGAAACTGTTTCGCGATTAAAACATAATACAGCATATTTTTGAAATAACACCCAGGGTACATGTTTCTGATGAATTTATCTTTCACCCAGCAATTTATTGCAATTGTCTAGTATTCTCCTTTAATACAATAACTAGTACAAGTTCAAAGGCCGTAGGCCCGTAGAATAGGTCTTCAGCAACCCATGCTTGCCACAAAAGGCGACTACGCTTCTCGTAAGAGGCGACTAACGAGATCGGGTGGTCAGGTTCGCTGACTTGGTTGACACATGACATCGGTTCCCAATTGCGCAGATCGATGCTCATGCTGCTGATCACTGGATTGTGTGGTCCAGACTCGATCCAGACCGCTGCCATATAGCTGGAATATTGCTGAGTCCGGCGTAAAACTAAACCACTCACTCAAAGGCAGTATAATACAAAAGCAGTGATTATAGCAACAAAGACAATGATGTTCTATTTGTGATATATTTAACAACAAATTAATACAATAACCAGTGCAAGTTCAAAGGCAGTATAACACAAAAGCAGTGATTGCTTGAAGTATTCAACTCACTGCAACAATCGTCAAGTATACAAAAACAACAAACAAGGCTGAATACAATAGCTGGTCTTCTTGTAACTTGAGATGAAATGTGAGATGAGAAGAGTAAGCTCCTCTTATATACCCACACAAATGTTGCCAGATCATTCTATGTTGTTCCCTGCAGCAGAAGAGGGTTGTAGTACATTCTAGAACTCTGTCTTGATATAGCACAAGTCTAAATACAGAGTACACCACTTTCCCTTACCGCATGTCAACAGGTACAATGTATATGACGTGGAACTGCCTAATAACAATGATCATTATATCTTTTGCCAGACAAAAATGTCGGATCTTGTCTCAGTGGCTGCTATCAAGGATCTTCTGACAGAGTGTCCAATATGCACAGAACACTTTGATGACTCAATACGAATTCCTCGTCGTATGACATGCTGTGTCCAGTCCATATGTCAGCCCTGTCTGGAAACCTGCAGTGGAGGCAATACAACCATATCCTGCCCTATGTGTCGGCACCAACATAACCTGCCCGGTGGAGTGAAATCCCTGCCCAAAGAGACGGTCATCCTGAAGACTCTGGACTACCTCAAGATCCAGAAAGGTCTTCATCTTCCATGTACAGACTGTCCGGACAAGGAAACCGCTCAAGCCCAGTGTGACAACTGTGGGGTATTTCTCTGTTCTATCTGTCTGAATGCCCACAGGAGGAATGTAACAACAAAGACACACACAATAGTTACCTTTGATGAGATGAAGGGGCGACCTGTGCAGAGTTTCCGTCGTCGACATCAGTGTAGTCAACACCAGCAGCCTCTGCAGTTCTACTGCCACACTTGTACCAAGGTCGTCTGTGTTTCATGCACTGTAGTAGATCACGATAAAGGGAAGGGACATAATGTTGTGTCTGTGGATGAGGCACACCAAGAACTGTCGAAATCCATAGAAGACGTTTTCGCAAAGATGAATGAGAAGTCAGAGACACTGGACAAAGCAGAAGTAGAATTAATGAAGAAGCTGAAGAACATCCAAATGTCCAAGAGGGTTGCCACAGATGATATCAACAAAACTTTTGACGATCTGGCCAATGAGCTGAAGCAACGGAGGTCAGTCCTGTTGTCAGATGTTGAACATAAATCTGCTCAGAATCTTCAGCTGACAAAGGATGCACTTGGGAAAACAAGAGATTTGCAGACTAGAGTAAAATCTTCCATTGAATACACAAAACTAATGAGAAGTAAAGCTGACAGGATAGAGGATCTTCAGGTGATGATGTCTTCAGTCGGCCCCTTGAGCACTATGTTGGGGAGGATTTACAAAAGGTATTCTTTGTCAGGACTGGTGTGTACTTTGTCGAGTCAAACATACATCATCTTTGTGATAGTATGGCAGCTGGAATGGTCAGGTCAGTCACGTTCTCCCCAACAGAGAGGCCGAAATATGTGCCAGATACTGCAGCATACAATGCCATCGTACAGGATCCAGCAGTGTTACCTACAGGTAAGTAGGAGAAAATTAGTTCATAACTTGGTATGTAAAACGTAATGCGATTTGGTCAATCAGTCTGATCAGGCAAACTGATGAAGGTGCCGTAGTTATCTGAGATAATACGGCTGGTTACACCTACTGCATACTAGGGTCTATATATATATATATGTATGTGTGTGTGTATGTAAGTGAGTGGAGTGGAGGGGAGAGTGAGTGAGTGAGCGAGTGGAGCGGAGTAGAGCGAAGTAGAGTGAGGGAACGGAGAGGACTGGAGTGAGTAGACGCATGTGTTTTGGAGTATGTGGTCGATTCCAACGAAAAGTTTACACAGCATGTTTGGGCCCATAACAATTTAGCATTACTATCTTCACTTATTCCGGGGTGCCCATCACATCGGCAAAGGTGAGGCGATTTGGGCCATATATAACATGACTATTTTTAATTAAAAATTAAGCTTATGGGAGACAAAAACAGGTCATTTTTATTCATTTTGTCTTATGTTTTACAAATGCTTTGTTGAAAACATGTTGTGTGTTAAATACTAGTCAAACTGGATGAACAGAAGTTTATTAATCTGATTGCCAAATATTTCGGGAATAAATCCCCTGAAATGATTTTGTCTAGGGCTTAATTCGGAATTTGGGCAATTTGTTTTCAAGTGGTATTTTTTGCGTTACTTACGAATACAGTTTTCAATGACTCTGTCAATCTATGTAAATGCAACACAAGGATATGTTTTGTATTTCTTTTTACAGCATTAATATGTAAAGTACTCAAATGCAATGGCGTTACATAATATTTCTTACAAGTAATAATCGAAAGAAATGTTAGAAAATCAAAGTCTGATTTGGTGAAAAAAATCACGTTACCTACAAATACCACTAAATATGTTGCTGTTTCCACAGATGAACACATTAGTGATAAATATTCTAAGTTATACGTGTGCCACATCTGAACATTTTCTGTACTGTTTTTACGAAGATATCACACAAAATAACCTGTATTCGTAGGTGAATTTTAACTCCCAAATGTTACCTACAAGTTACATGTTACCAACAACTGATCACATTCAAATAGATTGGTGGAATGACAACACGTGACATATGTTCCATTTGGAAGTCATCATAGGTGAGACCAGACAATATCTTGGTGATTAATAAGTGTATTTTACATTTTCTGTAAGAATGTTATATACATAAACCAATGTCACAATAACATAGGATGCATATGACACTTGTTATAACTAACCCACTTTAATTTTAGTGAGGTTTTAAGTCTTATTATTGTAAAAAAAAGACTCAGACTGCAAGTGGAATTGACATGTGGGCTCAAATTGGTAAGACATGGTGTCCCGCTGGGATTTCCCCGGTTGTGGCTCACGGTATTTGTACGTAACATGTATTCGTTGTTAACAAAATGAAATGGAGAACACAATACGCTACTATAACATAATTTTTACTGAAGACAATTATTGCAGATCATAAATAGATTGAAATGGTTCCTTGGAATTTCAAATGGCTACATAACTGAGCGTTCAATAAAAATGTTCTATCCAGGGATGCACTGCAGTTCGTGGTTTAGACTTTATGATAGTGATATAATGAATTCTTTTTGATTGAAATGTCAGAAATGATCTTGGTAAAAGTTTGCATGATATCACGCGATAAACGGTAGATTCGTTGGTAACATGTGTATTCGTTGGTAACATTCCGTGTTTGTAGGTAACATCAGTCAGTGTGTTTGAAGTTGTAAGTCTTGTTCAGGACTGTCACCGATGCACTTGCGAACATAGGAGAATTGAGACTGTAGTAGAATTAGTTGCATGGGTTTAGTAATTAGATTTGTCAAAGGTATGTCGTATTCGTAGGTAGCTCGTTTTTGTAGTTGCAACTTTCTGTAAATGTCTATCTAATAGCAATTGTTTCATTGCAAATTATGGGTAATTAAAGCAGAGTTATAGTTCAGTAAGACGCATAATGTACTGATTGTTTTAGTGACATGTTTATCTGTACATAATGGTATATGGTATACGGTAATAGTTCAAGCGTTTTAAACATTTGTAATATGCTTTCTTTGAATACAAATGTCAGTTGAAACATTTGGTAAATAAAATTTCAGGTGTATTGATTTTAGTTCAGTTTCTATACTTATCAGCAAAAGTTTAGACTCACTAGTGTAAATATAGCCACTTACTTCAGGCGACTGTTTTAAACTAAATTTTGCAAAATATTCCATACTGTTTAAAGGAACTGTTTACACATGATCTGATGTATTGTAAAACAAATTCGTAACGTTGGAAACATTTTTGTCATGAGTTCAATAAATGATAAAAATCAGTGAAAATTGTACGATATTTGCACATGCTTTTCATCAATTTGATGCATGATCCTCGTGCAATTGATCTGCATAAGGTTTGCAGTTGGTTTTCCAACTATATATATATTCATACTCACATATAGTGAGTGTTTCTAGTGAGTCCAAACTTTTGATGAGAAGTATATTTCCATCAGTTAAAATGACATTGCTACTTTCCGACATACACTGAGACAAAACAAAGAGAGAAAGCCTTAAACCGGTTGTAAACATCTTCATTCACATGTCCTATGCATTTAGATAAACAATTTCCAAACTGTTCGATGTTTTAATAAACTAGCTATGATTTAGTTTGACATATATATAAACATTTATGAAATACCAGGAATTATGTGACATTTGTTACCTACAAGTACATTGTTTTTATTTTCCACCGAAAGTTTAGTTTTTGATGCATTTTCAAATTTGTTGTACTTACCGAAAGTTCCACCCATTGTCTCTCAGATGAATAAGATAGATATGTAATAATGATTTGTTTGTGAAAAGAACACTATGAGGTGCTATCTCACTTACATCAAACAAAGGTACCACAGTGGTTCTATTTTCGTAAAGCTTGAGGTTATAAAACATGAAAGAAACCATGATATGACTTCAGAGTTCCTATAGTCATTAACATATTGTGCATGCAGAACAACAGTGAATTTGGATGTTAGGCAACATACAATCCATCTAATCACAGGATATACAAGGTATGATGTTGGTATTTGTAGGTAATTCAGAAAGTGGGCCTTCAACTTCACTGATCAACCAACTTATCACTTTTAGAGATTAGTGATGGCAACTGACTTTCATAAAAGGCAAATATGTTGACTTTACATTGGTAAAAAGAATTACAAGGTGCAAGCAATTCTATTTGGACCTAGCTGTGTACACTTTTCGTTGGAATCGACCATGTGTATCTCTCTGTATGTCACCTTCTGCTGTTATGACCCTTGTTGACTCTGACCTAAAGCTGCAGGTCCGTATGAGAGTACATGAGTCACAGCATACTGACGACCAGTCCTTGTTAAATCACCTTAATGCTGAGCGCCAGACAAGGAGAAGACAAGTACAATGTTTTAACGACCTTGTGGTGTGACACGATCAGGGATCAAACTACCCACCATCCACTCTCAGGTCATTCTATCCACTCTCAGGTCATTCTCTCCTTCCGCTCCACTGGCCCGCAGAGGTGGTTATAATTTGTTGTTCAACGCCGTCTGTTTCGAAAGAGATCTGTGGGACTGTATTACAAGCCCCAGAACATATATAAGACATTGTGGAGATATTACATGACCTCTGCCTTTTTTCATTGATGGAGATGGACCGGAAGTTGTCTGAAGGGGTGATAACATGTGAGTAGTTCCGGATGAGGACATCGTGTCCTTGGTGATGCTTCAATACGTTTTCTGTGTCACATGAGACCCAGTTCATTTTCTAGGAGGCACAGTTCGCTGTTTTGATCCTGTCTCTCTGTACAGCTACATAAATTTGTTTTATCTCCATATTCCCGTTCACTGCAATGATTTAATTACGGACGTTATTCTTTACACAGGCGCGATGCTGGAATGGGACGCAGGAACAGCTTATGGCGCTGTATGTGTATCTGGGCGGGTAGTCACCAACAATCCACCAACTGACCCTTATCCTGATACAGGATGTCGGATACAAGAAATGCAAGTTCTGGCGTCCAGACCTCTGATGGTCCGAAACAGCCCCGGTCAACCGTACATATATCAAGTAAACCTAGGGTTCTCTGTGAAAGAAAATATACCAGACAAGTTTGCGATACAAGAGACTGCTCTGACCCCCACCCCTGTTGAAACTCCCATCATTCAACTGACTGGACTGAGTGTACGTGTTGGTACATGCCACAACCACAAGCAGAAGCTGTGTCTCAAGATTAACAATAGAAACACCATCCTCAGAGACATCCCCCTCGCCCAGAACAGAGTTGGCCAGTCTTATGACCTACGGCTGTGTTTTGTACTGAATGGAGCTAAGAAAAAAATGTCAGTTATCAATGCTGCTAATAACACAGTGTACACCACTGTTACAGATGTAGATTTTGACAGACCCATGTGGGTCATGATGTGTGTTTGTAGTCTGAGATATGCAGATGTAACAGGAGTACTGATATCTGGCCACGACGTCACAGGATCCTTCAAAGACCGCAAACGGTAGAAAAGTCTTCATCATCAGCATGACTCTCTACATGTACAACACAGACACCAATGTCTGAACCCAGGCCATGCGTTGATTGTCTGAAGGTCTCGATCGGGTATTGCACAAGATTGCAGTATGCAACAGATACTGGTATATGCAGTAATGATTAATGTTTGACAGTTAGTGTTAATTACAAAGTCTATCGCAAAAGAAGAAAACGAAATATGAACTGCAGCACGTCACAAATGTCTAACTATGATTCTGTATACGTGAGACATCAGGAAGTTAGTTATTTGGATCAGAATTATCCTGAGTTACTGACAAATCTGTTTTCAATGGATTATAACTTTTGACATTCATTGTAGGTTTGTGTTTGTAAATAACGGACCCATTTGTAGTGAATTATTACCTATTTATGAATAGTTAATGTGTTTTTGAGGCTTGAAATATTCTTATAGTTGCCAGATTTCTATTTCTAATTTATATGATATTTTCACTTGACATATAACCATAGTGTCATGTTTATTTTGTATAAGGCTGAACTAATGTGTGATTTTGCCCCGCATATTGTCGTACCACTGGTCTCTTCACCTTACAATGCATGCATGTATGCTCTACCAACACCGTGTTAGTAAATAAATGAGTTCGTGTAAAGCGATGATTTCGTTTGTCCTTTAAATCGAAGCTATATTATTTGAGATAGTAAAACATTCATATCAGGAAATGTGTAAAAAATTCAGGCCCTCAAATCAGGAAATTTGAATAAGGAAATTTCCTAAACATTCCAGGAAATTTACACATTTCCTGATTTGACACATTCACTGTAACATATATGCATGTGGGTCGTAGTGGAATTAGCTGTAGTAGAAACAGAAGTAGCAGCAGCAGCAGTAGTATTAGTAGGTGTAGGTGTGATAGTAGAAGCAGTAGCAATGGCAGTAGTAGTAATGGCAGTAGTAGTAGTAGTAGTAGCAATAGTAGTGGTAGTAGTAGAAGCAGCAGCAGCAGTATTATTAGTAGTAGAAATTGTAATTGTAGGTGTGGTAGTAGAAGCAGTAGTCATGGCAGTAGTAGTAATGGCAGTAGTAGTAGCAGTAGTAGTAGTAGTAGAAGAAGCAGCAGTATTAGTAGTAGTAGAAGTTGTAGTAGTAGGTGTGGTAGTAGAAGCAGTAGTAATGGCAGTAGTAGTAATGGCAGTAGTAGTAGCAGTAGTAGTAGTAGTAGTAGTAGAAGAAGAAGCAGCAGTATTTGTAGCAGTAGTAGTAGAAGTTGTAGTTGTAGGTGTGGTAGTAGAAGCAGTAGTAATGGTAGTAGTAGTTGTTGTTGTAGTAGTAGTAGTAGTGAGCAGTAGTAGTAGTAGTAGTAGTAAGTAGTAGTAGTAGTAGTAGAGTAGTAGTAGTAATAGTAGCAGTAGTAGTAGTAGTAGTAGTAGGCTAATGGTAGTAGTAGTAGTAGTAGTAGTAGTAGTGGTGGCAGTGGTGGTAGTGTAATGTAGTAGTAGTGGTAGTAGTAGTAGTAGTGAGTAGTAGGTAGCAGTAGTAGTAGTAGTGAGTAGTAGTAATGGTAGTAGTAGTAGTAGTGGTAGTGTGTGAGTAGTAGTAGTAGTAGTAGTAGTGGTAGTAGTAGTAGTAGTGAGTAGTAGTAGTGAGTAGTAGTAGTAGTAATGTGTGGTAGTAGTAGTAGTAGTAATGGTGGCAGTAGTAGTAGTAGTAGTAGTAGTGGTAGTAGTAGTGAGTAGTAGTAGTAATGGTGGTGTGGTGAAAGTGAGTAGTAGTGAGTAGTAATGGTGGCAGTGGTAGTAAGTAATAGTGAGTAGTAGTGGTGGTAGTGAGTAGAAGTAGTGGTAATAGTAGCAGTGGTGGTAGTGGTATTGAGTAGTGGTAGTAGTAGTAATGGTGGCAGTAGTAGTGGTAGTGAAGTAGTAAGTAGTAGTGGTAGTGAAGTAGTAGTAGTAGTGAGTTGTAGTAGTAGTGGTAGTAGTAGTAATGGTTGAGAGTAGTAGTAGCAGTAGTAGTAATAGTAGGCAGGTAGTAGTAGTGGTAGTAGTGGTAGTAAGTGGTAGTAGTAGTAGTGTGGTAATGGTGGCAGTGGTAGTAGTAATAGGTAGTGAGTAGTAGTGGTAGTAGTAGTGAGTAGTAGTGAGTAATGGTGATAGTAGTAGTAGTGAAGTAGTAGTGGTAGTAGTAGTGAGTAGTAGTAGTAGTAGTAGTAATTGAGTAGTAGTAGTAGTGAGTGACAGTAATGGAGTAGTAGTAGAAGTAGTAATGAGTAGCAGTAGTAGTGGTAGTAGTAGTAGTAGTAGTAGTAGTAGTAGTAGTAGTAGTAATGGTAGGTAGTAAGTAGTAGTAGTAGTAGTAGTGGTGGTAGCAGTAGTAGTAGAAGTAGTAGTAATGGTAGCAGTAGTAGTAGAAGTAGTAGTAATGGTAGCAGTAGTAGTAGTAGTAATAGTGGCAGTAGTAGTAGTAGTAGTAATGGTAGCAGTAGTAGTAGAAGTAGTAGTAGTAATGGTAGCAGTAGTAGTAGTAGTAGTAATGGTAGCAGTGGTAGTAGTAGTAGTAGTAGTAATGGTAGCAGTAGTAGTAGAAGTAGTAGTAATGGTGTAGTAGTAGTAGTAGTAAGTAGTAATGGTAGGCAGTAGTAGTGAAGTAGTGTAGTAGTAATGGTAGTAGTAGTGAGTAGTAGTGGTAATAGTAAAGTAGTAGTAGTAGTAGTAGTAGTGGTAGTAATGGTAGCAGTAGTAGTAGTGGTAGTAGTAGTAATGGTAGTGGTAGTAGTAGTAGTAGTAGTAGTAGTAGTAATGGTGGCAGTAGTAGTAGTGGTAGTAGGTAGTAATGGTGTAGAGTAGTAGTAGTAGTGGTAATGTGGCAGTAGTAGTGAGTAGTAGTAGTAATGGTGGTAGTAGTGGTAGTGAAGTGGTAGTGGTAGCAGTAGTAGTGAGTAGTGAAGTAGTAATGGTGGCAGTGGTAGTGAGTAGAAGTAGTAGTAATGGTAGCAGTAGTAGTAGAGTAGTAGTAATGGTAGCAGTAGTAGTAGAAGTAGTAGTAATGGTAGCAGTAGTAGTAGTAGTAGTAGTAGTAGCAGTAGTAGTGGTAGTAGTAGTAGAGTAGTAGTAATGTAGTAGTAGCAGTAGTAGTAGAGTGTAGTAGTAATGGTAGCAGTGAGTAGAAGTAGTAGTAATGGTAGCAGTAGTAGTAGAGTAGTAGTAATGGTAGCAGTAGTAGTAGTAGTAAGTAGTGTAGTAGCAGTGGTAGTAGTAGTAGTAGTAAGTAGTAGTAGTAGTGTTAGTAGTAGTAGTAGTAGTAATGGTAGCAGTAGTAGTGGAAGTAGTAGTAATGGTAGCAGTGGTAGTAGTAGTAGTAGTAATGGTAGCAGTAGTAGTGGAAGTAGTAGTAGTGTAAGTAATGGTGGTAGTAGTGAGTAGTGAGTAGTAGTAATGGTAGCAGTAGTAGTGTAGAAGTAGTAATAATGGTAGCAGTGGTAGTAAAGTAGTAGTAATGGTAGTAGTAGAAGTGGTGAGTAATGGTAGTAGTAGTAATGGTAGCAGTAGTAGTAGAGTAGTAGTAGTAGTGGTGTAGTAGTGAGGTAGTAGTAGTAGGAAGTAGTGGTAATGGTAGCAGTAGTAGAAGTAGTAGTAGTAGTAGTGGTAGTAGTAGTAGTAGTGGAGTAGTAGTAGTGGTAGCAGTAGTGAGGTAGCAGTAGTAGTAGTAGTAATGTAGCAGTGGCAGTAGTAGTAGAAGTAGTAGTAATGGTAGCAGTAGTAGTAGAAGTAGTAGTAATGGTAGCAGTAGTAGTAGAAGTAGTAGTAATGGTAGCAGTAGTAGTAGAAGTAGTAGTAATGGTAGCAGTAGTAGTAGAAGTAGTAGTAATGGTAGCAGTAGTAGTAGAAGTAGTAGTAATGTGGTAGTAGGTAGTAGTAGTAGTAGAAGTAGTAGTAATGGTAGCAGTAGTAGTAGTAGTAGTAGTAGTAATAGTAGCAGTAGTAGTAGAAGTAGCAGTAGTAGTATAGTGGTAGCAGTAGTAGTAGTAAGTAGTAGTAATGGTGGCAGTAGTAGTAGTAGTAGTTATGGTAGTAGTAGTAGTAGCAGTAGTAGTAGTAGTAATGGTAGCAGTAGTAGTAGAAGTAGTAGTAATGGGAGCAGTAGTAGTAGAAGTAGTAGTAATGGGAGCAGTAGTAGTAATGGTAGTAGTAGTAGTAATGCTGATGAAGCAATGAATACACAAGTTGTTTTTTTATATCATGTTATTTTTACACAAACAACAGCAGTGAAACTCTTTACTGATGATAACAACCATTATAATTCTTATGTGATCGCAATGCATTATATTATGTGTATTATAAACTGAAGCCTATTTCTCTCAGAGACTTTAGGCTAAATTTAGGAGAGCATATGATTAAAACGGACATAGGAGGGAGCAAATTATGTTTTACGTCGCTTTTAGAAATATTTAAGCAATATCACGCCGGGATCACCACAATAAAACGCACAAACCGTGATGTATGTAACGTGTAGAGTACACGGGCGTTCCTCTCTATATATGAGGAAATAGCTGCCCTCGGGGCCTGTCTCTCTATTGCAATACAGAAATATCTGGTTGTTCGCCTCAGGTCGGTAAGTGTATAACTGGGGTCTATTATATATACATCTATTCTGCCCTGTTTCACCTAACCAGGCACAGTTAGGAGTGGCCCCGTTGTCTGTCTGTCTGTCTGTCTGTCTGTCTGTCTGTCTGTCTGTCTGTCTGTCTCTCTCTCTCTCTCTCTCTCTCTCTCTCTCTCTCTCTCTCTCTCTCTCTCTCTCTCTCTCTCTCTCTCTCTCTGTGTGTGTAAGGGGAAATGCCCTTGTTAACCTCTGTGACAGACTGCCGTGACATTGTGCATGTCATAGTTTAAGTGATAGTAACGATAAGACAGGCTCCGTGTAACTGCTACACCGGATTGGCCGTGGGGTAAGATTAATGAGTATTGTGGTGGAGGAAGGGTTCATGTCGTGGGATGTCAGGGAAGGTTGGATGGGGTGATGAGTGGCGTATTGCATGTGCGACATCTCTACATGATCATCTTAAGTGGACAATCGGCTTCCTCATATACACGGGGAAAATATAGGAGTGACGTAAACACGATGAATGATGATGGTAATGATGGTGGTGGCAGTCGTGATGATGATGCGATACGACGATGGGTGATGGTGATGGTGGCGATGAGGATAATGATGAGGATGTTGAGGATGATATTGCTGATGAATATACCGATGATGACGATATGTTGTGGTTGTGTTTTTGATGATGATGATGATGATGATTATCAATGTGATGTGATACCGAGAAACAGAATGCTTTAAATTTCATTATCTATACCTTACATCACTATACTTTATGAATAACAAAACAATGGTGCAACGTGTGCTGTTTTCACGAACATAAATCAAGGAAAGATACAATTAGTGGAAATACTTATAGCCAAGATCATGCCACACTGACAACTCTGACATGCTCAACATATCCACCACAAATCCACTCCACAATATCTGTACATGTCCCTCTCACACTGACAACGCTCCGGGGCTCTGTCAATCTACCCCACCTAACAACAATCTGACTCTGATCTAGCGATCTGCATAGCAGATTAAAACATAACATCATGTCAAAAATCAAATAAGGGCTGGATCTGTTAGAAACTAAATACGCCTACGACTTCTGATGACCGGTCGGTCTCCTGTACAATTTCCCTATTATGATGATGTACGTTAAGCAGCAAGCAGATTTATTACATTGGAAGACTGTGTAGCTCCATACAGGATGATCCGACGAACACGAACCAAGCCTAGGGCATTACTTCATGACATCAATAACGCCCCTTTGTTCATGTCACCTGAACATATCTCCGAATTCACCGGTAGCAATATATACAAACCGCCCAGACGGTCTAATGTCTTACGCATGGGTTTGACAGTGTGGGCACACTGTGAATAACCCACGGGAGTGTTTGAAAGAAACAACTTCACTTGTTCCTGTGAAAATGTTTTCCAAGTTACAGTATATCTTCTACAAGACGGGTCTGTTGTGGATGTTTGTAGTATTGTGCCACAGTTCAGAGTCTAGTACCGAACGATGTGTTCAAGGTTCCAACTGTCGTCTGCCTCAGTGTTTCTGTCTGAATTCGTCTGCTCCACCAAACGGCTTCGCGGCTGAGGACATTCCACAAATTGTTGTGTTTGCCTTTGACGGATCTGTAAACAAGGCAAGCTACGTTCATTACAAACATTTCTTTTCGAAAATTTACAGAAATCCCAATTCGTGTCCCATCCGGGCGACCCTGTTCACGAAGGACAGGTACACCAACCACAGCATGGTACGTGAGCTCTACCGACACGGTCTGGAGATAGCTGGGAACAGCGTGACGGGTAAGTTACCCATCTCCTTCTGGCGGGAAGCAAATAGAGAGGAACTGCTGGATGAAATTCTCAAAAACAGACGACAATTATCAGAAAAGACGGGAATCCCTCTCAAAGAGATTCGAGGATGGAGAAGTCCTCATATTCAACCCACGGGCGACATACAGTTCAAGATACTGCAACAAAATGGATTTGAGTACGACTCGAGTCTGTACGTTCAGAGACGGTCTCTTGAGGACGATATCACTTGGCCTGGAACTCTACAACATGGATGGCCGTTGTCATGTGAGACAAAGCCCTGCCCTAGCAGCAACTACACGTTATGGGAGATCCCCGTTATAGCGCTACTGGACCACAAGCTGAAATACCCATGCATGACAGTGGGTGGGTGTATCGTTAAGCCAGAAACGGAATCGGATGCTTTTCAGCTTCTGTGGAGGAACTTTTACAACTTCTATAGGAGTAAAAAGATTCCCTTTATTGTGAACATGAAGCCAGGGTGGCTGAACACGGACTATCATTACTCGGCTTTGGATAGGTTTATTTTGTCCCTGCTGGATCTGAACGACGTGTACATTGTCACGATGCATCAGTTGGTTCAGTGGATGAAGAACCCGACGAATCTGACAGCTATTCATGAGTTCAAACCCTGGAAGTGTCCCGGTGCTTTGGGAGCTGGGGTTTCTGTGAATCTCAGTGTGCTTGTTGTTCTTGGAGTTTCCGTGCTGGGATATATATGTGTTGCCGCTTGGGCTTGAAATGGGGGTGTGCATGACAGTGTTCATCATGATGTTCATAATGGTGTTCACAGTGATGTTATGACAGTGTTCATCACGATGTTCATAGCCGTGTTCACAGTGATATTTATGGCATTGTTCATCATAATGTTCATATTGGTGTTCACAGTGATATTGACGGCATTGTTCATCATGATGTTCATAATGGTGTTCACAGTGATGTTATGACAGTGTTCATCATGATGTTCATAGCGGTGTTCACAGTGATGTTCACGGCATTGTTCATCATGATGTTCATATTGGTGTTCACAGTGATGTTATGACAGTGTTCATCACGATGTTCATAGCCGTGTTCACAGTGGTGTTCATAGCATTGTTCATCATGATGTTCATATTGGTGTTCACAGTGATGTTCACGGCATTGTTCATCATGATGTTCATGGCTGTGTTCACAGTGATGTTCACGGCATTGTTCATCATGATGTTCATATTGGTGTTCACAGTGATGTTCATAGCATTGTTCATCACGATGTTCATAATGGTGTTCACAGTGATGTTCATGGCATTGTTCACCACGATGCTCATATTAGTGTTCACAGTGGTGTTCATAGCATTGTTCATCACGATGTTCATAATGGTGTTCACAGTGGTGTTCATGGCATTGTTCATCACGATGTTCATAATGGTGTTCACAGTGATGTTCATGGCATTGTTCATCACGATGTTCATAATGGTGTTCATAGTGATGTTCACGGGGATGTTCACGGCTTTGTTCACCATGATGATATTGGTGTTCACGGTAGTATTTTGTTCATAGTGATGTTCAGGTGTTCATTGCTATGTTTACAGTAGTGCTACATTTATGCTCACATTTGCGTTGACAGTGATGCTCACGCCAATGTTTGCATTAATGTTCACGTCATTGTTTACATTGATGTTTATTGCAATGTTCACAAAGATGTTCACAGCATCGTTTCCATTGATGTTAATTGTGATGTTTACATTGATGGTCACGTCAGTGTTTACATTGATGATCACGTCAGTGTTCACATTGATGTTCATCGTGATGTTCATAGTGATGTTCACGGCAGTGTTGACACTGGTGTTCATTGTAATGTTCACAAAGAGGTTCGAGTCAGTGTTTACTTAATGTTTAGGGCAGTGTTTACATTGATGTTCAGCGCAATGTTTACAATGATGTTCACGGTAGTGTATACATTCGTGTTCATTGTAATGTTCACTGAGATGTTCACGCCGGTGTTTACTTAATGTTTACGGCAGTGCTCACATTGATGTTCATCGCGATGTTCATAGTGATGTTTACGGCAGTGCTTACATTGATGTTCATAGTGATGTTTACGGCAGTGCTTACATTGATGTTCATCGCGATGTTCATAGTGATGTTTACGGCAGTGCTTACGTTGATGTTCATCGCGATGTACATAGTGATGTTTACGGCAGTGCTTACATTGGTGTTCATTTTCCATGTTTATTGTGTATTATTATTTATAAACGTGTTCACGGCGCATCCTTTTGCAAAGGTTTTGTGTTCATCCAAACATTCTTATGATGGATTATGTGTATTAAACTTGACATGTTAACAGTGGCGTGTTTAGTTTAATTCTTTCACTGATGATTCTATATGTCAATGACCTGTATCAGAATGGTCTTAGCGCTTAGACGAACGTAAGTCTATGTTAAGATATGTGGGTACGATCAGCCTAGTGCTACGACTGCCGTAATTCTGTGTTACGGTATGTAAGTTACGATCATCTTACCTGTATTGCCGTAACCCTGTAAATGATCGAGTCAAACTGGTGGTTGATATCGTGACAAATGGCCCAAGCAACTGAGATCCTACGACACAGCAAGACAGACATGTGAGACTTGAGTATGTTGCATCAAATTCAATACGATAGTGCCCGTGAAGATCCGGGGCAGAATAGGTCTTCAGCAACCCACGCTTGCCGTATAAGGCGACTATGCTTGTCGTAAGAGGGGACTAACGGGATCGGGTGGTCAGGCTCGCTGACTTGGTTGACACATGTCATCGGTTCCCAATTGCGCAGATCGATGTTCATGCTGTTGATCACTGGATCTTCTGGTCCTGACTCGATTATTTACAGACCGCCGCCATGTAGCTGGAATTTTGCTGAGTGCGGCGTAAAACTAAACTCACTCACTCACTCAATACGATAGTATGGCGGGGTAACCCTTGGTCTGCCTTTTCTTGGCCTTCTCTTGTCCGATTGTTTTCCTGAATCGTTTCCTACAGTATTACGGAAGCAATTCAATGTCCTTGCAACATGAGTCTTTGGTGCCGCCATTTGCAGCTTTCCACAGCGCTCTCACATTGTTGATCTTCAGCCACCCAACCTTGTCGGGAGGCGACTAACGGGATCAGGTGGTCAGACTCGCTGACTTGGTTAACACATGCCATCGTATCCCAATTACGTAGATCAATGCTCATGCTGTTGATCACTGGATTGTCTGGTCCAGGCTCGATTATACAGCTTGATGCCATCTTGCTGGAATATTGCGGACTGTGACGTTAAACAACAACCAGCAAACCAATCATTGTCAACAATTGTAAAAGGCAGTATACTAGGCGGCAGCAGAAACGTATATTACATCTTTGATTCACGGTCAAAGGTACACTTGAAATAAAGCAAGTACTTGTCGACTACATGTGTATGATGTTCCCAATACAGAGTGTCCATATGAAAACTCGGAGACTCAATGTGAGAGAAACGCATTAACCACAAGATTACCCCATAGCCCCGTAGTAATGACAGACACGTGACCATATGTCATAAATACGCTTATCAGGTATGATATATAACTATGATGAACCCACTCAAATGCATCACTGACACAGAAAGTCAGGCCCTGGGGGTGTCCTCCCGCGCGTAGCACTAGACTCATAGGCGGATCAAGAGGAGGTCCCTGCACCACCCTTTCGTCCTGAAAGTTGAAACTCTCTTGTACATGGAAAACAGGTGTACATGAAGTGTACGCGCGCGCGCACGTACGCACGCACACACACACACACACACACACACACACACACACACACCTCAAAAAGCTGTAATCGCCCCTGAGACTAGACACCAAGTACATTACTAGAAAGATATTTTTGGTTTGTTGTTTAACGCCAAAATCTGCATTGTTCCAGCTAGATTTCGTTGGTCTGTAAAATAGCGTCTTACTGGAGCAGCAGAAGCCCCATAATTGGCTAAGTTTTTAGATACCCAAACCAGCATAACTACTATTTCTAATGTGGTCAGAAATGATGATATAACACTACTGTTAATGAAAATCCATGATGACATTTATGAAACGATGGCGTTTTGAGAGAATGCTGGTTGTAGACAAATTATTACGTTGGAAGCGACGTATCGGTGTAGATACACTTGCTTGATAACCGTGTTAGCATCTATACCGAAACTTCCCACCCATTGCAATAAAGAGGTTGTCTTTCATGAAACGAAATCGTTCCTTTATTGGTCCGTTTGAGCGATCTGCATCTACATAGTCTTCTACTCACATGGTGAATTTTTCAACCTTAGCAGTTGCACCACCACCAAATGGCGTCACAATTTCAACTTTCCTTGCCGATTGCTTCATATCTCCTAAATGAGGGATGGTGGTGTAGCCTAGTAGTTAAAGCGTTCGCTGGTCACCCAAAGACCCGTGTTCGATTCCCCACATGGTCACAATGAGTGAAGTCTTGTGTCTTGTCATATTGCTGAAAGAGGAGTAAAACTAAACACATTCACTCCTAACGGAGTCAATGTCAGCAAAATGAACCCATATGATCCAATCCCAATTCCAGCAATGCGTCAAAATGTCATGGCTTATCAGAAGGATTTAACCATGGAGAGACCATGTAACTTAGTGAGTGAGTGAGTAAAAATTAATAGTCAGATCGGCAAAAAATATTTCAGCCATAATGTGACTTATTAATTAACAACAAACGCAATTAAATTATAAACAAACCTGTTGATAAAGGACAGAAAAAAAACCAGATTATCACAGAGAATTAAAACCAGCAAGTAAATTTTTAAATTAGACAAATAGTACAGACAACACAATATAAAAACGGGCTGGAGATCACCAGCAACTGAAGGTAGATCACCATACTAGGGACCATGGGGACTTACAGTACTCCATGTAACTTAGAGTGCTTGCTGTGAATGCAAAAGAATGAAAGTACAAAGTGTGAAGCCCATTTCTGGTGTCCCCCGCCGTGATATTGCTGGAATATTGCTAAACGCTGCATTAAACTAAAGCTCATTGACTCACTCTTCCAAATACATGGCAGAGCGCTAGTTTGGACGTGCAGTGTACAGCTGGAACACACTCCTAGTTAATGATGTCCATCAGATGCACATTAGCAGTGATAAGTATATGGATGACAACATCAAAGGTTATCCCCGTGCCAAGAGGGATGAAGACCAAGGCCATCTATGGATGACAACATTAAAGGTTAGCCCTGTACACGGTGGATGAAGACTAAGGCCATCTATGGATGACAACATTAAAGGTTAGCCCTGTACACGGAGGGATGAAGACTAAGGCCATCTATGGATGACAACATTAAAGGTTAGCCCTGTACACGGAGGGATGAAGACTAAGGCCATCTATGGATGACAACATCAAAGGTTAGCCCTGTACACGGAGGGATGAAGACTAAGGCCATCTATGGATGACAACATTAAAGGTTAGCCCTGTACACGGAGGGATGAAGACTAAGGCCATCTATGGATGACAACATTAAAGGTTAGCCCTGTACACGGAGGGATGAAGACTAAGGCCATCTATGGATGACAACATTAAAGGTTAGCCCTGTACACGGAGGGATGAAGACTAAGGCCATCTATGGATGACAACATTAAAGGTTAGCCCTGTACACGGAGGGATGATGACTAAGGCCATCTATGGATGACAACATTAAAGGTTAGCCCTGTACACGGAGGGATGAAGACTAAGGCCATCTATGGATGACAACATTAAAGGTTAGCCCTGTACACAAGGAGGGATGAAGACTAAGGCCATCTATGGATGACAACATTAAAGGTTAGCCCTGTACACGGAGGGGATGAAGACTAAGGCCATCTATGGATGACAACATCAAAGGTTAGCCCTGTACACGGAGGGATGAAGACTAAGGCCATCTATGGATGACAACATTAAAGGTTAGCCCCGTGCAAGGAGGGTTGAAGACTAAGGCCATCTATGGATGACAACATTAAAGGTTAGCCCTGTACACGGAGGGATGATGACTAAGGCCATCTATGGATGACAACATTAAAGGTTAGCCCTGTACACGGAGGGATGATGACTAAGGCCATCTATGGATGACAACATTAAAGG